ACACCCTCACATATTTGATTTGTTTGTTAATTCATATCTAATGAATTGTGTCATATCAAATTTGTGTCGTATATAAATTATATATAATCCTTATATAAATGAGTTATATTATATATTTATTTGATTAATTTTATTTATATCTAATTTATTTATTAATAGTCTATATCGAATCTAATTATGCACAAAAATAGATTTCTTCATTATCTGTCAAGTAATTGATATAGGTAATAAATACAGTAAATATAAAGGTGAAATAAACACAGGAAACACACAAATATAGAATATTTTGGTTAGAGTGATCTACTCCACTTTGAAGGCGGCAACGGTAACCAGAAGACTTTATTAATAAAGTAGTCAGTGAGAGAGAAAAAGGGAGCAAACATAAGCTCTAGGTGTAGAGAAATAGTTGTGTTAGATATGCAGAGACGTGATATGTTACTCGGTGTCCCTCATGTATTGAGGGCTTACAATTTATACTCACAGAGTCTTAGTTGATGCAATGACATGAAGAGATAGGTGACTAATTATTCAGCGATAATAGCTATAGCTAATAATAGGTACAATTAAAGATAGTCTTAATCTTTGAGAAGTGATTATCCCGATAATTACTCCCCCACGTGCACTGATCTTCCTGGATTTCCTGAATTCTTGATTGGGCTGAATCAATGAGCTGGGATTGACCTGCCTTTTAATGATTTGGACTCAACCCATGAACTAAGCTCGGGTCTGGTCTAAATCTGAGCTCGTCATAATTTATAGTGTCATTAAATTTAGACCTAACTAAAGGAAAATTTTCATAATTTTATTTATATCTAATTTATTTATTAATAGTGTGTATCAAATCTATAAATTTACTGACTTAACAAAAATTCAAACTCTTTAATTTCGTATTTATTCGTTTTGTATTAATGGACTAACAATTGTTTGTGCCTGAAGACACGGTGTTACTCGTAAATAAGTTACAAATATTTGCTTATACATAAATATAAAATAAAACACAACATTTTAGCAAATGACAAAAAAAATGAGTCCGCTAATATTTTTCACAACATCAACTTACATATATAGCTTATATAAATATAAATTGTTAAGCCACGAAAATTATGTTATAACCACTGAAACATAATAATTTAAACATCTGAAAAAATATATCAGTTAACAATATTTAATGTTCTGTTTTGATTCAAAATTCATGATTTTAACATTTAGAATCAACTTTATCTAAATAATAACAAAATTCATGACTAATAGAATGAAAATTACAGCAATACTCCCACAAACAAAGTAAGTCTGCAGATGTTTTCAAAATAACCAAATATAACTATCAAAAACTCAACCGACTTCCAAAAGAATTTATATGACCTGGAAAAAAAAATGGAATATCAGTTAGGTGTTTTTGTCATTCTCCAAAAACATACATTTTTTTCTTTTATCCACATTCAAATAATAAAAAACATAGAGAAATAATTTTACTTAAAAAATACTGTTGTATCTGTGTAGGTCTTGTTCATTGTTTATCAATTGAGCCTCAACTTCTTCAAACACTCGTGAACAAAGTATGTCAGTTTCAATATTTGCCAATGTCTTCTACAATTCCATCATATCTATGAAGTCATTCTCGAACTTCTTATTAATTATGTCAATTGGTCATGTAGGTGAAAGCGTGTTAACAACAACATATAGGATAATTGGATTATTCGGACTAAAACTTTCTTGTTGCGGTTTATAAAATAATTCTTATTTCTTTTTTATATGATCTATAACGTTCGTGTCTGAACTCATTTTTTCCTGCTCAAATTGTATCTATAATAGATGAATATCGCGTTCCACGTCCAGTAATAATTATACAAACAGTACTATATTGGTTGGTTTGTCATCTAGAACAAAAAAATTTGTTGCAAAATCTCAAGTTGTGGGAAGAGTCTATGTTATTTTATGCATAATATAATTATCACTTATATTTTTTCTATCATTTGTAGCATTCAACCTAATTCAACCTTTTCAATCCCAAACTTCGAAATTGGAGTTTTATCTTCAAGTTTTTTTGTATATTTAATAAAGCCACACGAGTACTACGACTTATGAAGCACGGATATTTCGTTGAGGTTGACATATCCGTATCGGATATGATACTCGAGAATACGTATCAGATACACCTTCTACATATCCGATAATAATTAAATGTTAGAATATTTCACGAATACTTTTGTAGACGAGCAACATATATAATTTTTTAGTTGAACTTTTAATATCTTTTTTTGAATTCACATACCATACAATACATTAATAAAAAAATTATATTACTTCAAAGGCATATGAGTGTTTTTTAAGTATTATCTACAATTACATGTCAAAAGAGCATAAAATAAAGCTATTACATTCTAATCTTAACAAAAATTACTTTTAAATATTAGGTAAATATTAGTTTTGATTCCTTTAATTAGTCACTTTACTTTGTGAATATACCACAACAACACGATATATATTTTCTTGAAACTAAAAGAATTATTAATTTTCTTTATTATATGTTAAAGAACTACCAAAATATATAAGTATTAAGTTGGATGAAAATAATAAAAATATTAAATATATTTTATTAGAGTCGTATCTTGGTCATATCCATATCTTATTTTTTTAAATTTTATCGTATCGTATTATACTGTATCCCATATCCCGTATCCCATATCCGTGCTTCATAGACTATAACGTACATAGATAAGAGGTCATTCCATTATATCTGTACATAATATAAAAGATACAAATTAAAATTGTAATAATCACATTAACAACGAAGTAATAGACATTACAACAAATAAAATAATATTTTTTGAAAAAATTGGAATAATGAGTAGGACTATGAAGCTACCCTAAAATCAAGACGCCAGCAAAAAAACCAAGCTTGAGTTTTAGATCAGCCAAGTTTGAATAATGTTATAGGCTCGTTTTATAAAAATGAGTTCGACAAGCTTGAGCTCAAGTTTGTAAAACTCAGCTCGATTAACACCCTTACATATTTGATTTATTTGTTAATTTATGTCTAATGAATCGTGTCATATTGAGTTCGTGTCGTATATAAATTATATATAATTCTTATATAAGCGAGTTATATTATATATTTTTTTTGATTAATTTTATTTATTTCTAATTTTTTTATTAATAGTGTGTATCGAATCTGATAATACACAAAAATGAATTTATGCACCACCTGTTGAATAATTAATATAGGTAATAAATACAGAAAATATAAATGTGAGATAAACACAGACAACATACAGATATAGAGTATTCGGTCATGGTGACCTACTTCACTTTGAAGGCAAAATGGAGATCGGAGGACTTTATTGATAAAGTAGTCGGTGGGAGAGAGAGAGAAAGCAAAAGTAAGATCTAAGTGTGGAGATGTAGCTGTGTAAGATCTGTAAAGATGTGATGTGTTGCAGTGTGTTCTATAATTTATAGGCACAAAGTCTTAGTTGAGGCAGTGACGTGAAGAGATAGATGACTAATCATTCAAAAAGGATAACTACTACTAAGGATAGTAGGTACAATTAAAAATAATCTTGATCTTTGAATAGTGGTTACCATGATAATTACTCTCCACATACATTAATCCTCCTGATTTCTTGAATTTTGGATTGGGCTGAATATATGAGCTGGACTTGACTTGTCTTTTGATAATTTAGGCTTAACCCCATAAACTAAGTGCAGGCCTGATCTAAATCTGGACTCGTCAGAATCTATAGTGTCATTGAATTGAAGCATAACCACATGAGGTATAATTTTTTTTTTTATATCTAATTTATTTATTAATATTGTGTATCTAATCTATAAATTTACTGACTTAACAAAAAATTAAACTCTTTAATCTGGTATTTATTCGTTTCGTATTAGCGGATATCCGTTATATATCCCTCCAGACGACCTCGTACTTTTTGTATTTTTTTTTTGGGTTAATCTCATTTTACACCCCGAAAGATCGTTCGAATCTTAATTTGTACTTTCAAAGAGCAAAAATCTCAATTTGCACCCTCAAAGATAGAAATTTGTATCAACGTGCACCCCAAAGATCAAAAATCTTAATTTACACCCTCAAAGATAGAAATTTGTATCAATGTGCACTCCAAAGATAAAAAATCTCAATTTGCACTCTCAAATATATAAATTTGTATCATTATGCACCTAAAACTAAATTGATAAATTATACCTACATCTCCTTATACTTGTCACTTAATCATTTGGACATCTTTACATTTAGAATATTACTCCTACATCTTATGACATTTATGCACGTACAACATGTAACCCATTTTTATTGATATCTGTTAATATAACCGTTAAAAAATATAATTTTATCCTAATAAAAAATTATAATTTCATATTACCCTTATTTTATGGGTCCAATATATTCTGAAGTTCAAAATCAAGCTTACCATTTGAATGTCTAATAAAATGTAGATATTTATATAATATTTTTCATATTTTCCTTTATATAAATATCTACATTCTATTACACGTTCAAATGGTAAGCTTGATTTTGAACTTTAGAGTATATCGAATCCACAAAATAAAGAGTAATATGAAATTATAATTCTTTATTAGGATACAATCATATTTTTTAACGATTATATTAACAGATATCAACGAAAAGTGGTTATGTTTACACATGTATAAACGTCATGAAATATATGAGTAATATTCTAAATGTGAAGGGGTTTAAACGATTAAGTGACAAACATGAGGGGATCTAGGTATAATTTATCAATTTAGTTTTAGGTGCACATTGATACAGATTTCTGTCTTTGAGGGTGTAAATTGAGATTTTTGATCTTTGGGGGTGTACATTGATACAAATTTCTATCTTTGAGGGTATAAATTGAGATTTTTTATCTTTGAGGGTATAAATTAAGATTCGAACGATCTTTCGGGGTACAAAATGAGATTAACCCTTTTTTTTTCTCTGTCGAACTCGTGCTGAATAAACGTTTCTCCCGTTAACACACCACTGCGCCATCACGACGCAACATCTTTTTCTCGTCGGAAACTAGAGCTCAGTTCACGGCATTCGAACGTTCAATTCGGTTCCTCTATGTTGCTTTTATCATATTACTTTTGAGTTAGATTTTAGAGAGAACGGAGAATTTAGGTCTTTGAACTTCCAAGATCTAGGGATTAGTAAGACATGGAGACCTCTGAGGAGAAGGTGGTAGCGGTGATCATGGTTGGTGGCCCCACCAAAGGTGTTAAACTCTGTCTTCGTTGAGACTTATGTTTGATTTTTTCTTTATTTTTTAGCGATTTCGGAAAAATTCTTGTTTGGTTCACTACATTGAATTATGCAGGTACTAGATTTCGGCCGCTTTCCTTCAACACTCCAAAGCCACTATTCCCTTTGGCTGGTCAGCCTATGGTTCACCACCCTATTTCTGCTTGTAAACGGGTATGTATTGTGTTGTGCTAATCTGTTGTTTTTAATTGATTCCTATTTCTCTGTTAATTTGCTGAAAATTTTGAAAGAAAAAAATAAACGAAAACAGAAACTTTCAAACCTTATGTTTTATCATGTTTTGGTTATACATTTAGGCAAACAGTTCATTATTTTTGTTAATTGTGAATCTATAATGTATGGGCAAAAACCAATTTCAGCATTTCCAAAAGATATGATTTTTTTTTTTTACACTATTTTGTAGATACCCAATTTGGTGCAAATTTTTCTCATTGGATTCTACGAGGAGAGGGAATTCACGCTATATGTCTCTTCGATCTCTAATGAGCTTAAAGTTCCAGTCAGGTGATATGGGGGATCGACAGACAGTGTGTTTCTTGTATCTTTTGTTGGATTATTGTCTTCTTTCATTGTTTTAGATATTGTACATTCTTACATTGTTGTAGATTTTTTTGATTTTCATTATTGGTGTTGCTCTAGGTATTTGAGAGAAGACAAACCTCATGGTTCAGCTGGCAGCCTTTATTACTTCAGGAATCTTATCATGGAAGATGCCCCAGTATGAATCTTACACTTTTTTGCCTTTGAATTGGTACTTTTTTAGCTTTTCCATGAGTATCAAGATGGACTGATATAGTCCGACTTTGAATTCCCCAGCACATTTTTTCCTCTGTTCTTAAAAAGTGCAAATTGCCATTTCTATTTCATGCACATATTGGGGTTTTTTGTTTTCTGGATCTGTACTCATTCGTCACTTTCATGTGTTCTTCCATGCAGTCACATATTTTTTTGTTGAACTGTGATGTGTGCTGCAATTTTCCACTGACAGACATGCTTGGTAAGCTCTGCACACCTCCATCAGTATCCACCACTGGTTTATTTATGTAATTTATCCGAAACTTGACATTTGTACTTGTACTATAGCTAGACTATCCACGCATTGATTATTGATATCATTGTTAATCCAATGTTAAATACCAGCTGTCCTAAAAGTTTTGACTGATGCAAAGGGATATTACATGAGTATTTTGTCTAATCTAATACTTCCTCTGACATGTGGCCTCTCGTAGTTGGTCTATGCACATGATCTTGTGGTGTATTAAGTGTGGTGGTGTGGGTTTGATTTGAACTCAAGACCTTTAGGATTTGGTATCATCTTAATTGTTAACTCTTATGAAAACTTAAACTGATAGGGATTGGTGTCATATAGATCTCTCTCTTAATACACACCATCGCTTGATTGTATAATTACTAATGGGGTAGTACTTTGTGTGGCTTGAATTGAATTCGGGAACTTTAGGCTCTAATGTCATATTAATTACACTTAAACTGATGTAGAGGGATGTAATATGAGTGTATATGGGATTAATGTGTGTCACCTGTCTTGTTGTTCTACTTACAGAGGCCCATAGAAGGTATGGAGGGATGGGCACACTGTTAGCAAGTAAGGTAAGGTTCACTGCATGAACAACTTAGTTTGGCATATTTATGCTAGAAAACAGATATGAAGTATGAACGCATTTTTATTCATCTTGATCAGCTTTTGTTGTGCTTGTCTACAGGTTTCTGCTGAATCAGCCTACCAGTTTGGTGAGTTGGTTGCTGATCCAATTACCAAAGAGCTATTGCATTACACTGAGAAACCTGAGACTTTTGTATGTATTATGACGGAAGAAAGAGATATTGAATCAAATTTCCTTGCCTTTGTTGCATTTCCTTATGCCCTTCTTACTTAATGCAGGTAAGTGACTTAATAAACTGTGGTGTTTACGTCTTCACCCCAGAAATTTTTAATGCCATTCAGGATGTATCCACACACCGTGAAGATAGAGGTTGGCCCTATTTTTTCGATCTTACTCACTAATTGTTGCAGATATGGATCATATCAAAACCCCTGGAAATATTCTCTTTGATTTGTCCCCTATGAACACAGTTTGATGAATGGGGTGCTTTTTTCCCACTTGTTGTTTTTCATTTTCTTCTCATCTAAACATGTTTCGTGGAAAGGATATTAATTTCTCGGCCTTTCTTTCCAGAAGTCAGGATGTGAGATGCATTATTTCTTAAGTATTTTTTTAATGATCTACAAAAGTGCATATACCTCAATATGGCAGACGAATTTTGTTTGCTTGAGAGTTCTGCAATTAATCAATCAATTGTTTTGGGACAAGCTTTGCAATGAAATGCCTGAAAGACTACTGCACTCTTTTGATGTTCATACGCAACATCTTAGATCAGCATGGAGATAAAGCCCTTCTTGTTGATGTCCACATTGCATTTTGTTAATTGCAGCTAATCTACGTCTCATCTCCAGCTTTGAATCCCTCCAGTTGGCAACAAGGTGTGTCCTCGTAATACTGGCTTAACATTGATGTACAACCTTTTTGACTGTTTTGATTTTGAATATTTAAATAAAGCATTTGAGAAATTAGCATTAGATTGTATTGCTCCAAATATTATGAATCAGATGTGAACATGTATAGAGTACTGTGAATATGCATAAATAGAAATAAGGAACAAAGGTATTACTCAGTGTCGGCACATTCATCAAGTGTGTTGGGAAGGGTAGAACGTGTAAATATAACTTCGTTATTATTGATGCACTGGACATTGATATTTTAACATGTTAGGTAGTGAGTTTGAATGCTAAAATCTGCACTTAATTACGGAAAAGCTCAAACATAACTATTTCAAGCCCTCCTCGAAGTGAAAAAAGAATAACAGAAAAGACTACTAGTCTATTTTTGTTACAGGGTATGCTACCAGCAATTCTGTTTCAGGTTTTTATGTGACTCTTAAGCTTAATGTGATTGAGCTTGTGTTGATGGTTCAAACTTGCCGATAACTTATATTAATCTCAGTCTCTGGGATAATAATCCATGGAATGCCGCCAAATGTCTACTATCATCCCAACAGGATTAAGTTTTATGTGAGCATTGTTAAGTACCTTACTCTGGCATTTTTTATGAAGTTGTTGTAGAATTTATCACTGGTGTTACTTTCATTTGAAGGGCTTCTTTAAATATTTCTTCTTTATTTTAGAGGCTTTATATGTGCATTGAAGTTATGTGTATGCTTTCTCTATGATGACCTCAATTGGTAATGTATTCGTCAACTCTTTCAGGTTGAGACACTAGTTAAACCAAATAGAGCTTTCTAACTTTGAATATACTTGCATATGCAGTTTTATAGCAGCACCCTTTGGCATACAAAAGCTGTACTCAGTTTCCATGCTGATTTTATTTCTTTCAACAGGTCCCTTCCTACAGATTTTGTCAGGTTGGATCAAGATATCCTGTCACCTCTTGCTGGAAAGAAACAATTATACACCTACGAGACCATGGACTTCTGGGAACAGATCAAGGCTCCTGGGTAGAGTGTTTTTGCTTGATATTTGTGCCTGTTCTTCCTTATGATATGAGCCTTGGACCGTCATCTCTAATACGTAGTTGAATTCACAGAATATCTTTGAAATGCTCTGCATTGTATCTTGCTCAATTCCGATTAACCTCTCCTGATCTCCTGGCTAGTGGAGATGGCACCAAGAGTGCCCTAATTATTGGCGATGTTTATGTTCATCCTTCAGCAAAAGTACATCCAACTGCAAAGGTAGTGCAATCTCGTCTCTTTCCAAAATGTTTCTTGGTAGTATGGGTAGTCTAAATATATAGAAGTGCACGTAACATTCTAGACATGCTTTTAAAAGGAGGGGGCGGAAGAGAGAGAGAGAGAGATCTGCACACTTTGTATTTTGTGGGTAAAAATTTTTAATAACTGATTTTTAGAGCAGGACAAGAGACTTCCAACATGCCAACCTGAAGTATAACTATCCATAACCACCACTATATCAGAATTATGAAGAACATGTTGAAGGATATCCTACCATGTAAGCTTATGGTCCACCAAAGTCTTAAGTGATGAATGTTACGGAAATTCGTGCGTATTAAGATCTGCTGGGACTGAGTATTACGTTTGTTTATCATGCGTTCTTGAAAATGACCCATAATGGGATTAAGTATTACCCACATTTTCTTTTCATCCTATTGCATGCTCTGACTGGAGAAATGTGTTGAGACTACTGTATGCTGGTGTCTTTGTCACCAAATACTACTTGCAGTTAAGCTGGGCAATCAGACTTTCTTAAGAAGCCCTAGCTTAACATATAAACCTTTTTTTTTGGGTGCAATTCCCAGATTCTCCCGTCTCGAGTTTTCCCAAAATTTAAATATTTTTTTCAAGATTTTTTACCTCCTAAATTTTCTCGTGCAACATGAACAGATTGGCCCCAATGTTTCGATTTCAGCGAATGTTCGTGTAGCAGCTGGTGTAAGACTTATTTGCTGCATCGTCTTGGATGATGTAGAAGTCAAGGTATCAAGTTTGAAAAAGAATGTTAAAGTTGTCTCTATGAGCTGCCATAATTTGTTGTATTATCTCCTGACAGGAAAATGCAGTTGTTATGAATGCTATTGTTGGATGGAAGTCAATTATTGGGAAATGGTCGCGTGTCCAGGTAGGTTTGCTGGTCCTTTTGTCATTTCAAAGCATAGCATTTTCCAAACTACCCGAAGTTCCATGTTGTCTAATCCAGGATTTGTAATGTCCACTTACCTCTCAATCCCATCTAAATATATTTTGTAACTGTACGCAATTGAGTATGGCTCGCTAGGGGTGTCAATTGTGTCGTGTTGTATCATTTTCGTGTCGTATCACTTTTAATCGTGTTATTTTCGTGTCGGATGACTTTCGGTATGTGTCGGGTTTGTGTTAATGAAAAATTATTTAATTCCACAACTCATATAATACTACAATACTTGTTAAATACCAATTTTCTAGTTACAGTACCCGTTAATTGTATTATTCGTGTCGAATTTTAATTTGACTCATTTATTAGTCGTATCAACTAATCATGCTATTTTTGAGTTTTGTTTTGGGTCAGATTCATGTCAAATTCATGTTAATGAATAAAATTGACACCCCTATGGCCCGCTACAACTGGCAGTAAACGATTGACATTTCAAACGAGTTTGATAATATATTTGAAGGGACTGCTCTTTCCTATGAACCTCTCTCTTTACTGCCCAAACTCAGGGTTGATTCGTTTAACTCTACCTCAAGTTTTGAAGGTCTAGGTCTAACTCTATGGGTAGATATGAAGGTACTTAACATGAGGAAATAGGAGTATTAAGGCACTAATGAGTCAAAATTCACTTTTTTCAAAGTAAAGAACACTAATGTAGATGGGAATGCTATCAATCAGGCTAAAATCAACATAAAAAAAATTTTGGCTTTGAATATTGAGTGCTAATGACGCAATTTCAATTGATATAACTATAGGATTTTGTTAAAAAAAAATAAAAAACTTGTAGGCTTATAACTCTTGGAGTCCTGAGGAGACACTTTTTGTGATAAAATAGTCTCAATAGTAAGTATGATAAGCTTGAAATGTTAGTATAGTCAAATCAGGGTACAGGACATGGAGAAATAGTTAAAATTGGTAACCTGTGAGCACACAAGAATCGTGATAAACAAAAAAAAGCACAAGAGAATGATTTTCATTACTGGTCCCACTTGCACAAGGTATTTGGAAGCGGTAAACTAAATAAAAACCTAACTTTCGCCATTTATATAAAGTGGTATTTCTCGGATTCAATTCGCTTTGTCATTCTTGATGTCCAAGCACTTTACCATTGAACATTTATGTTTGCATAACTATAAGTCAAGAAGTTTCTCACATACAACCTCCTGCACGGGTTCAGCCTGGGGCGACCCATAAACTCGGACCAAGAGGTTCGTGTCTCCCGGACTTGTTGATACCTGTGATTAGTAGATGATTGCATGTGGGTCCAATGTAGCCGTTCCTTGTGGAGGTTCCTTATTACTTAAAGAAAAAAGTGAAGTAATGTCTCTAGTTAACTGTCATCAATCATGTATTAGAGCGGCCAAGTTTTTTTCCGGCAAGTAGGATTGCCGAGTTAACCATTGATTTTTGAACATGTTTAGTTGCTTTTGATCCCCAAAGGTTCAGTCAATGTTGCTATTGTCTGCCTGGGGACTTCTGAATTACGTAAAACAATGCTTCTGATGGGGGTGGTCTTCTAGGGATTTTCATATGCAAATAGTTTCTAATCTCCAGGAACACCAAGAGTGATAACCTAGTTTACATGTAGTGAAAACCCAATCTTTGCATTCTTCTTAGTTTCTTTTCAGCTGACCTAGATATGTATGGTTTTAATTCAGGCTGAAGGAGACTACAATGCAAAGCTCGGAGTCACTATCCTAGGTATGCTTCATGCTCATAATGCCTTTTACCTGCAGTGTCATATTCTTTGTTGCTCCACGAAAACTTGTAAACACATACAGATCTTTAAGCTTGGATTTTATTGATTCAGGGGAAGCTGTGACAATCGAAGATGAGGTTGTGGTGATTGACAGCATTGTTCTTCCCAATAAAACACTCAATGTGAGTGTACAGGAGGAGATCATTCTTTGAGATGATGAACTGAGATTATGCAGTCTTCATGCTGCCCCACACTTTTATTTTTGTTGTATATTTTCCTTTTTGATACTAACAAAGGCATGACACACGCCCACGATGTCAGGAAGCTCATTGCTCAGCCGTAAACGAATATTCTTCAATTATGAATATACATCAATTAGCCAAAATTAGTTCTTTGGCTAGTATGAATCCACAAATTCCATGTAAGCAGATACTGTGATGTCTAGTGAAAGCAATTGTAGCACAATATGACTTCATAAGAGCCAGCTTTAGTTTACATCTGTGTCCCTGGTGCCTTGCACCAAAACCTTTTCATAACTGAACTTCCATTGCTCTTCAGTTCATGTACCTCTGCTTTAAGTGCCATCAATGGCAATAAAACACGATTTGTTGGATCTAATTTTTCCATATTCCTGATCTTGCTGCTGAAACCAGTTTTGAATCTCATCTTCAATGAGAAGAATACGTTGAGACGAGGGGTCACAATAGGGGTAATTAGTTGATTCGATATGAATTTTTTGAGTAAATTATGCTTTACTCCCTTGAACTATTATTTTTATCTTATTTCGCACCCTAACTATAAAATTTTACACATTGTACTCTAAAATATCAATTTTATTTCGTACTACTCTAATAGATAACGTCAAACTTGAAAATTTGTCAAATAAGAAATGAAAATTTCAAAGAGCTTCTTGTCAAGTGTCTAGTACCATTTTATTTTATCTCTTTTATAATTAAATGGTTGCTGGAAAGAAATAAAAGATACAAAGAAATTTGAAACTTAGAAAGAGCAAAGTTATAATGCAACATCGGACTAATTTTTAAACTGACAACCTCAGGAAGTATATTCACGCTTTCAACAACTTAACAAGAACAGCCATACGAACATGATCATATCATTAACATGACTGAGAATGCTTATTCTTATTGTTTATGACGAAAAATCATTCAAATCATGTTGTCTTGCGAACTTGTGGCTGCGACACAAACTACTTTTGACCTCTGTAAAACAAAAGCTCCCAACTGCTAGCCCTTGATTTATAATTGAAGTCAAGTCCAATACATACCAAGCATCTAGAGATATGATCAAACACCACAGAAAAACAAACTATCTCGATCAGACTTTTAAAGCACAACTGCCAACCATTGCTTTGAGGAAAATCACCATCAGAATCAAAATTTACAACTGTAAGACTACAATAGTAATGAGATAAACTTGTTGAAACGCAGTCCTGCCAAAAACTCAAGCCATCTACACGAGGTATGGAATTACTGCAACAACAGCAGCTTCATGGGGAAAAAAAAACCTGTTCTGTAATAGCTTTCTATATCAGGGGAAATCCTATACCATTCAAACAACAGATGTCGAGTCTCTTCTACACGTAGTAGGACTGCTAAGACTCGACTTGGTCAGGTATTTCGGGGTGAAAGGAAGAAAACAAGTTTGTCGGTGCAGCCATTAACATGGCACAATCAGCAGCAGTGAGGAAACAACAATATGTAAATGCTTTCTATTCACTGGTGGGGCCGTAATTCTATTTTGTAAGCCTGTATTTCCATGGGAGAGATAAGAACGTGGCCTTCTTGAACACCATCGGCAAACTGCTCACCGTAACCAAGCATCTCTGTGTCTTCATGCAAAAGATTCAAAGAAGTAGGTTTTGCATTCAAGACTGCAAGCCCCTTGAACATGTCGAACAGATTTACAGGCTCATCAGCTACACTTGAACATTGTGATCTGGCTTTATGATAGTATGAAGAGTCCCAATGCCATCTCTGCAAAATTAGAACAAACCTAGGGTCCTCAAGGGGCTGTTGAGAATATTTTGAAGGCCTAGGAACCATGAAGCTCACAATATGCAAGTCGCATGGCAACGAAGCTGCTAAAGGAGAGAAGGATCTTGGGGGTGGTTGTACAGAGATTTCCTGAGGTTTCTTAGCAATGAACACATGTAATGGATAGTTCAAGTGGGCTCCAACACAATGCGAGAGAAGAGAGGGGCTTAGTGGCCGAGGATTCTTAACAGGATTTTCAGTGGAAGAAATGTTAGATTCCACAAGAATGTGGAAAACTACATTCATTGGCCTGTTGTCCATCACTCCTTGCCCAAGGCCTCGCCCATCGTCTCTCACTAATCGGCGGTCAAGCATGATCTCTAGCCAACCATTTTTAAGGCTTGCGACCCCCAATGATTGTCGAGTATGAACAGAAAAGCGCTGTCCATCTAGTCCCTGCATGTGCGCAATAGAGGGCATCGGATAGTAATTTCCTTGCAGAGGAATCTTGTCATAGGTTTCTCTTCGGCTCATCTGGAAGCCATTTAAATCAGAATAGAAAATCTTTTTGTTATTAATATCTGTCTTGTACCTAACTATCAATTCTCTGTCATCAAAGTTATTCCCCAAAAACTCGACATGATATTCCTTCTCAATGACAAATTCCTGTATACTATCATCGCCACTATAAATGCGGGTGCTATGGGAGATTGGGGATTTATCCCATGCAGTTTTTGGATAAGAGTAAACTTCCTGCATCAAAGGGCCCTCTGAAATCACCATTTGCCCACCAGCATGGGTAATAGGCTCAGCATCACCAACAGGCTTGAATAGATAGGCTCCACTTCCTGAACTAGAGTACATACCTATTTCTTCACCAACAACATTTTGGGAACCATCATTGCGGCCTATTTTCTGCAACAAACCAAGCTTTACATTGAAGGTAAGTGTTTGATGCTGATTCCGGATTTCAGCTGTGTCGCCTTCTAAATTTGAGCACGCATATGGAGCAAGGCACGGTACATTGCTGGATGACGGCAAAATTTTGAGTCTTGCTGGTTTGGCATTTTCACATCCAAAAAAACCGTTTGCAACATAATACGTTTGCAACCCCATGGCAGGAACCGAAGCTTTCCAATAGACACGATGCCTTCCAGTAAACATCTTGCTTTTATCATGGTGCAATTCTGGAGAGAGTTGACTTTTAAGACATGTCCAGTTTGAGTCCAAAACAGTTACATCAGGCCTGTCAACAACGACCATCACAACCTCATTTCTAGTTCGTTCTAGTGGATTAAAAAGGACCACTGTTTGCACTGTCCCTTCACGAGCACTGATTGCCCTGTGCACTGGTTGGACATCATATTTTGATCTCACCTGTGCTGACTCAAATTGAGAAGGGTTCTGATCATTTTTCTCATGGCGAATTCCAAGAAGCACTTCAATAGCCTTAGACATGAAAATTTGCAAGTCTTGCAAAGACATGTGCATCCTATTTCCATAGTCCTCCACCACATGATCCTTGGCAGTACCAGTCACCCCATCATGATGCTGAAAAAGAGCTAGGTTCCTTCTTGCAGCTGTCAACTTGTAGGAGAACCCTGTAGGCAATTTTTCACACTGTGCTCTCTGACAGTATCCTAGTAAAAATGCCATCATCATTTCCGCGGCCCGAAGTGTTTGCTCTAGAACACGATCAACAGCCTTGAAAAAAGGCCTGGAAACATAATAGCCACTCCAGTAATCTTGCTGTCTATCGGCATAAGTAAAGAAGTCACCTGATAGGGATGGGAAACCTCCAACCTGACCAGAACCAACCTCACCAGGAAGTGAATAATTTATTCTGTCAGCCTCTTCACGTAACGTTTGGAAATAATCTTCTAAAGTACCAAACTTCGCCTCAGCATTCAGGCTTGGATTAGAATTGATATAATCAAATAACAACTGATAATTTCTATACTGAGCTTCTGCTTCATCAATGCTAATGTAACGAAAATCATCTCCAAGTGGAACAAGAAGTGTATTTGTTCGGTATAGGGTCGATTTCTTCTTATACTGATCCAACAATTTAAGTGCTCTTTCCTTCACATTTTCCTGGTTGGTCTCTACCGGATGTTCTCCCCAAGGACATAGCTCATAAGTGAAACCACGCATTCGAGCAAAGTCAAACTGACAACAAACTGCAGGCTCAGGCCCACAAGTATGTGGAACATCATAAGAATAAAAGGGCATCATATGGACAAAAATATCAGTTGTTTCCGCAGCATCCCAGCTCTGTCTCCATATGTATTCCAGGTTCTTATGCAAAGCCAGTTCCTTCTTCAGCTCATAATGCGTCCTCTGTATAAGCATGTTCTCAAAACCCATCCGGCGAAAAAGATATGCCATAGTTGATGAATAGCCAAAAGGATCTATTGCCCAAGAATTTTTAGGAATAACTCCAATGGTGTCATTCAACCACATATTGCCCTCTATTATCTGAGGCATGAATTACAGAAAAATTAGGGAGGAAACTCTGTTAAATGTGCATGAACTTCATTCCCTAACCAGACCATGGCTATGAACGCAAAAAGATCTGTGCAACATGCGAAAGAACAAATAGTATCATTATTATTTTTTGCTAACACCTACTGCCACTCCCCTACACTACTTTTAAAGTCGTCAACTTTTTCCTTTGTAAACATGTACTAAGTACCTTTCTTGATAAATACTACCAAACAGAAACTACTAACACATATAAGAATGTAACTGTGTAAAAAGTCATTTACACACAAGATCCTACTCTTGCCTCATCTAAACAAGAAACCTAAACCACACTGCAGCAGCAGCTGACGTAAAAAAATGTATCACCGGTCAATGCTACAAGCTTATTCTTAGGTGGTGTTTGGATCACCATGGGAGGATTAGATTGGATTGGATTTGAATTCGAATTCAATCCTACCCAATCCAAAGTGGTCCGGATTGGAGGTTTATAAGGATAGGATTCAAATCCTATCCCATCTTTGGATAGATTTCATTTGATTTGTGACCATTCACATGTGATGGTATAACATACTAAAATGACAATTTCACCCTTGTGTAAAAAAATGTTATCCAATCTTATACCATGTTTGTGTGGAATGAAAAAAATTTCAATCCATTAGTATTATCTTATTTACAAAAAAAATATATAAATCAATAAATTATGCATTTTTACAAAAGATTGCAATAAATATTTAGTTCATTTATTTAATTTAATTTGTACAATACACTTTTAATCACAAAAATCATTGTATTAATAACGTGCTAATGTTTATTACCTTTTTTTGAAAAATATGAAGTCAAATTTTTTTTTTATGGTGGTTTGGTTGTTGATGAGTTGCTAGCTAGTTCTTGGAGTCAAAATCCAACTCGAGAAAAAGAAAAAAAAAATCGAAAACTAGTCCAAACCCCCAATTACAAATAAAAAAGACTAAAATGCAAAGTGGGTCAAGTGCCTCAAACCCATCAAATTCTCCATTGAACCCAACTCCTGTGCAATCACACATACCCTCTCCATCCTCCATGCGAGTGCCTGCTGGGAACCGGTGGCTGTTAGAGGATCTTCCACAAAGCAGCCGAAGCCAAAGGCTAAGGATCTCAATAAGATAGAGAGATGTGTATGGAGGAGAAGCAAAAGCTGGGAAAGGCACGTGCCATTGGGTTGAACTAGCAGTTTCACCAACATTAACAAGCAGGTACAAAAAAAAAAAAAGAAGAGACAGAGAAAGACATGTAAGCAAATAATATCTAATTCAACATCGTGTATTCTTATTGCCAAGGTCCATACCACACAGACAACATCAGCCAAAGAAAAGGGGGGGGGGGGGGGGGACAGAGAGAGAGAGAGCGAAGACCAGTGGGTGAAAATGAAAGTGAAATGGAGAGTAGATAAAACCCTAGAAAAATCACTGTAGAGGGTTTTTTTTTGTAATTTTACACTTAATCCTACCCACTAACTTCACAATCCCAAACTTTCCATGGGTTTCAACTATCCAGCTTAGGGAGGATAAATGGATTGAAACACTACGGACAATTTTTTCATTCAAAACAAAAATCCCATCTCTCTTTTCCTAACCAAACCAGGGATATGTGGCCCCCTTCACAATTTTAACCCAATCCTCCCTGTAATCCCCCCAAATCCGGCCATCCAAACATCCCCTTAGTGTATTAGTTCTGTCCTGGATAACCCAACATCAAATAATATTACTGACTAATATCATCCCCTACTCAGCCTCTTCGCACTTGAGAGCTACTACTACATTGTGAGGTTTATAATCCATAAGCAAGAAATAAACACCATAATTACTTTCAATCTCATATCATGCAGGAGTCTTATCCTACATGATAATTTTCTGACCTAAAGCTATCTGAAAAGACCATTTTATTGAAGGACACAATTAGCTGCAACCACGTATAAAATGTTGATCACAACACCACCAAATTCAGGTACCAAACATCACTATCAAAGTAAGAAACATTTGAGAAAAAATAACACACTATACCTGTTCAATGATGGCAAAATAATGTGAATTGGCCTGCAAAAGAATGCACACAATATTCGCTTAGTCAAAAATTGTTCAACAAAGGCATAGTTCACACACAACTACCAAATTATTCTCAAATAAGTCAGTGACAAGTTTAATTCCACCAGTGCATGATATCAGATGTCCATTAATGACATCACATCCCATTGCATTTTTTTTCTAGCCGAAAACCCTTATGCTGGAGCAGTAAGTGAATTACTTTCTATGGAACTTAAGAATTGAAAACACAAGGAAAAAAAATAAAGGTTGCATAAAAGTTTATTTATCCAAAGGGCACATAATCATCCTATCATGTCTTCAATGTCCTTTTTTCGGTAAATCTGTTTTTACTAAAATTGCTTTATACAAGGTCTTTTCATTCCATGAATAAGCATGTGATGCCATCTCAGTACAATAACAAAACTTACTTTGGTTATGACATCTAAGTTTTGGTGGCAATGGCTATGCCTCCATATTTGTATTCAAATGCTATGTTATGTAGCCTCACTCCCTAGGATCTCCAATCACTCTCCTAGTGAATCCTACAAATCCTAGTGACTACATGTATTTGAGAAAAATAATTCCAATGGAAACATTTGATGAACCTCTCACATCGTGCTACTTTCTGGCTATATGACTACAGCTTCTGACTCGCATTCTCCTCTTTAAACAAGATTACGAGACTGCCTCAGCCTTTCGACATTTGTGTAGGACAAAAATTAATGAAGCCATGAGACTCCAACAACAAATTGGCAATATCCCTGGACTCCTATTAACTTATCTTACTTTCATTCCACTAATATGTAACACTATTTTTGATTGGATAGCCTTTTACATTGAAAATCAATTGGTCTCGGAACTTGAGACAAAATCCAAAAGGTTAAAGCACTCCTACAAGGGTGACTGAGCGGCTTCTCATAATTATGAATAGATAGCAACAAATAAAACCTGTATGAAGTCTAATGAGTGAATTGAGATTAAATAAGGCCAAAATACAGGAGTAGGAATGTAGGAGCAACCAAGAGTAAATTCTCATGCATGCCCATGGATATTACCTCGTCATTCATCACCCAACCACCTCCAACAATTTCTAATTGCCCATTCTGCACTAAGTTGATGAAAGATTCTTTTTTAGCATCCGAGGCGTCCCTCCACCATCTCTCCAAATAAGACATCTCTTCCCATATAAACTTGCGCCGAACATCCTACAAATCAAACATAAGAACTTGCAAATCGATATCAAAACTCAATCCACGCCAAAACCTTGTTATGATAGATGGATACATCTGAGAAACAAATGAAAATAGAACTTCTAATTAACCCTAATTAATTTCATAGCGCACTAAACCCACCGAAATTAGATGAAAAAAAATACTAAAAAGACAAACAAATAACTGTGAATCCACTCTGAAGCCATCAAAGTTAAGCTCTAGTAAGAACTTATTCACCCAGATTATCCGAAATAAAACCAAATCACCTTGGAAAGCGTCTCGACAATGGTATCGAGGATATGCCTGGACTGCCGATCATAGTACTCCTCAACCGTAAGCTTCCAACCAGGATCATTATGCGAATGAGGGACCACAAAAACCTTCAACTTTTCGGAATCCCACTCATTCCCTTTGTAACTCACCCTCCAACCTTGCTTCCATGGACCACCATCCACATCCGAGAACTCGATCTTATCGTACAAATCTTTGGTCGTTAGATCCACAGCAGCCCCCAAAACGACATCGTTGCGCTCAGAAGATCTCCGAGAAATAGGTTTTCGAATCCTCGAAAAACGAGAGGATCGGGTGGCTATAAGGTGGGGTTTGGGTACACCGTAGCGGAAGATGATGAAGAGGAAAAGAAGGAGAGAGAGTGAGAGGCCTATGGCGAAGAAGTTGGTGACGATGAAGTCCTTCACTGCTGTGCGTTTGCGGGACTTTCGAGGGTGTTTTGAGGATGTTTTAGGAGATGATGTGAAGGGAAGGAGAGAGTGGGCCCACCCGGCTCCTCCACGGCGGGGGTTGCCACCACCGAAGTGGGGAGAGAAGGCCATTTCAAGAGAGAGAGAACGGAAAATGAACAGCAGAGATCTATGGAAACTAATGTTATGGTTTGAGAGTGAGGGGCATAGATTGGAATTTGGAAGTAAAATAGTGTGGTCGTCTTCTAAGTCAAAGCTGAAGATAACAAACTGAGACCTTTCAAACTTCAAGACCAGGTTGTCGATGTTTAGCATGCTCTAACTCACATCCGAAGTGTGGCAATCGAGGAGTAGTTGGGATAAATTTAGAGATCTTATAACAAAAAAAAAATTATCGACTTTTGAGGATGAAATATTTCTAACAAATGCAATAAAACTTTTTATTCTAATATCAAAATAATCTCTATAACTAAATCTATATAATAAAATAGGAGTGTATTTGAATTTTATTCTAGTCATATTTTTCTCCTCAAAACCATCACTTATCACTTACTTTATCCATCGTCCCTTTGTCAAATTCAAACGTCATATCGCATCACTTATTTCTGTTACATGTTTAATCATTTATATATTTCTTTCTTAAAAATATTACATCACTCATTTTTATCATATATTTAATCATTTAATATTTGATTAATTTATAGTTAATATTTTTAAAAATAATTAATATAATAGAATCGATTTTTTGAACGTTCGAATTTTATATTTTATCGTGTCTTCAGACACGAATTATGACTAGTCTATATAATAAAACAGGAGTGTGTTTGAATTTTATCTCAGTCATATTTTTCTCCTCAAAATCATCATCAATCACTTACTTTACCTATCATCGTTTTGTCAGACTCAAACATCAAATCACATCACTCATTTCTATCACATATTTAATTATTTATATATTTTCTCCTTAAAAATATTACACCACTCATTCTATCATATATTTAATTATTTAATTATTAATTAATTTGTAGTTAATATATTTAAAAAAATTAATATGGTGAAATCGATTTTTTAAACGCTCGAATTTTATATTTTATCGTGCCTTCAGGCACAGGTTATGATTAGTATTTTAATAAAACATGTTTATATCTTGTCTTTTCATTTACTAATGCTAATTTTGTAGTAGAATGGTTTAAATAGAGAATTTATTGAAGATGAATTTTTAGTGTCCGACTCCCTAGAATAAAGAGTGGAGTAAAAATAGAGATCATATTAAAAATGTTTGATTATATTTGATTCAAGGTGGGCCTTGAAAATTGGAGACCATAACCTAAAATATAAACGATTTTTTTTTATCCAAACCTAATTTAAATGGTAATAATAAAATATTGACTTATTTTCAAATAATAAATAATTTGATTTTAATAAAAAAATTCATTTTAAAATAGTATTATTTGAAGAAAATGTCTAATTTTTATTTTTTTTTAATTTTTTTGTTCAATATTCTATATGAATTGTTATAAAAAAATTATATTAATTTTGATTTAGTTTTCCTAGCTATGTGTCCTATAAGCGACGTCGTTGAAAGGGTTTAAGGCTGTTTAATAAAATTCTACGTCAAATCTGAATTGGGATTGAACAGAACAACAGAAAGAACAGCTCGCTTCTCTGCACCTCTTCTCCAGCCGATCCGCGAAGTCCTTTCTCTCTGGTAAAACCCCCTCATACTCTTCCGAAATTCGCATATATATATCTCTGTGTGTGTGTGCGTGTGTGAAAATATTTGTTTCTATGTTCATATCACTCGTTTTTTTGGTTGAAAACGTGAAGAATCGAAATAGAAATCCCAGATCTGCCACACATACATGTTTAGATTTTGTCCTTCGATTCACAACATCACATTTTTTTCGATTCATGATTAGCGATTGGAAGGCGATTGTGTGTGATCGGCAATATGTTCGAGTTTGATTTGGCATCATAGATTTCATTTGATGAAAATTTTGTTAGTGAATAATTATTTTTAATGCACTTCGATATGAACAGAAGTTAAATCACGGAGTTCCTCTTCGTTTTTCCATGTAACTCAATTCCGTTTGTCCGAACAGTGGCAAGTTTTTTCCCCAACGTATTTTTAGAATCTAACTATGATTAGTTGATATAGAAATCATAAGCTTAACTAGGTGAGATCTAAAAGCAGGAATTAAATTTCATAGAAAGGTTTTTATGCCAAGAAGCCAGTGTTTGTGGGTGGTGGGAGCAACCATATCTGCCACGAATTGTGGTGAACAGGCCCGGTTTCTCTGTTAATTTTTAGCGAGGTGCTGTTGATCAAAATGGCATCATTATATTTAACAAAACTTAATCGACAGTACGCAGAGGATCCTTCGCCTTGTTCACCTAGGCCTATATATTGCTTCCTATATTGTTGCTCCTCAATGTGCTGCTGAAGTGTTCGTGAGATAACATCAGCGGATCATCTAATTTTTTCAAGTAATGTTGTCTTTACAACTAGACACAGTTTTATTTGCTGATTTCTGGTCTTGGTGTAGTTCCTAATCCTTTTATTACTGAGAATTATTTTTTGTTTTTAACTAAAGTCGTTACCTAGTCATTTTGAGAATTTTTTACTTTGGAAACTTGTGGAAGCAATTAATCATTGTTTCTGATATATCTTGTTTTGATCTAATGAAATGTAGGATTTTGAGAGATCTTGTAAACAGAAAACTGTGATTCGGCAGTGTTTAGAAGGTGAATAATAGTAATAAATTAATCTGAAAAGATGCCTGCACAGAAGATTGAAACAGGTCACAATGACACGGTCCATGATGTATCCATGGATTATTATGGAAAGCGTGTGGCAACAGCTTCTTCTGATACCACCATCAAAATAATTGGTGTGAGCAACAATTCTCCTTCCCAGCACCTTTCTACTTTGAGTGGTCACCAGGGTCCTGTTTGGCAGGTTGCTTGGGCACACCCCAAGTTTGGTTCGAACCTTGCTTCCTGTTCTTACGATGGTAAAGTGATAATGTGGAGGGAGGGTAATCCAAACGAGTGGATGCAGGCTCATGTTTTTAGTGACCACGCGTCATCTGTCAATTCTATTGCTTGGGCACCTCATGAACTTGGCCTCTGCTTGGCTTGTGGATCCTCTGATGGGAATATTACCGTGTATACTGCGAGATCAGATGGCGGTTGGGACACAACAAGAATAGATCAAGCCCACCCTATTGGTGTAACCTCTGTCTCATGGGCCCCTTCAATGGCTCCTGGTGTTCTAGTTGGATCTGGAATGCTGGAGCCTGTCCAGAAGCTTGCTTCCGGTGGATGTGATAATACTGTGAAGGTGTGGAAGCTATATAATGGAACTTGGAAGATGGATTGCTTCCCTGCACTTCTGATGCACTCTGATTGGGTGAGGGATGTGGCTTGGGCACCCAATTTGGGGCTTCCAAAGTCTACAATCGCAAGCGCTTCACAGGATGGGACAGTGGTCATCTGGACAGTGGCAAAAGAAGGTGATCAATGGGAGGGTAAGGTATTGAAGGACTTTAAGACCCCGGTTTGGAGGGTTTCATGGTCTTTGACTGGAAACTTGCTGGCTGTGGCTGCTGGGGACAATAATGTCAGTTTGTGGAAAGAAGCAGTTGATGGGGAGTGGCAACAGGTGACCACAGTTGATTAATGTATTTCGGGCTCTTGTTTTTGTCTTAAAGTTTTACTGTTCTCCCTCTCTTCTGGCTTTGTCAAGACTATTTTTGTTAGTTTTCCGGAAAGTATCTTCGTCTGGTTTTCTTTACTGGAGTTATGGGATTGTTGTAATACCAACTACAGGGAGTGGAACAGATGAACATTAGAATCAAGTTATTATTTCTGATTGTCCTGTTCTTGTCCTCTATCATGCCTTTTCATATTCTATATATTAAAGTACAAAAGATGTTTAAATCCATCTCGGACATAAAAATGATTTTTTGTTTTTTGCGGTTCAAATTTATTTAAATTTAATCTAAAGGCTAATGTTAACCGACTAATTTTTAGATTCCCGCCCAAAATATTAGATCGACTTTCTCTCTTCAACCCTAATTTAATACGTTGATTGGCCGATAGCTCAACATAAGAGGAAGAAAACATGGGCTTTAGGCCTCACGTATAAATAAAGCTCTAAATTTGAAAGGTGAATAAACCGACCAAAGATTAAAACTTAATACAATTTAGTACCCAAAAAAAAAAAAAACTCAAATAGTAAGCCATAAAATTAATTTTGAAATTTAGGTCCAAAAGTCTAATCCATCTCACACAATCGCATATATTAAAGTAATAGTCAGAATTAGTTATTATCTGTTTGAATGCATTGTGCTTGAACACATTAAATAACAAATAAAAAATTGCAAGCAGTTACCAATACACGAGGGCTTTGTATAATAAAAAAATCATCAATGATAATAAATGTAAAAGACATAGACCACTTAGACAAAAAACTAAGTCCTCACAGTATATTGCGTATACCAAATGGTCAAGTATTTTCATTTTGTACGTATTATGGAATAATGCATTATTAAATAAAAACAAAAATGAAAAACACACGCAAATATTGGTGAATTCTTGCTCTTTAAATTGAGGAAGTTCTCCTATTATTTTTTCTGCCTAAATTCTTGAGAGGACCTTTAAGCAAATAATCCAATAGCATTGATTATGGCAACATTAATACGATGGATACAACATTGATAACAATGTTGCTTATAAGCAATTAGATATATCTTATTGCAACAAAAAGACACACTAAATCATAATAATTAAAGCTCATTAAAAGAATCTCTAATCAAAATTAGGTATATAATTAAATCGTACATATATGTATGATATGTATCTCAAATTTGTAACTCAAATCAAAGAGGATCAGTGGGTCACATTAACTTTTTTAAATGAGACTCACCGATCCAATAGTCCTTCTTGATTTAGAATGCAAATTTAAGTTACAAATTTAAAATAGATATCATTACTCTATATGTATTACTGCTAGCCGTCCATATGCTACCATCCGCCCCATCGATACCCAATGACAGTCCTACACAAAGTGATATTACTATCATAACTGCTGTCATGGAAGCAAGATGAAAGCTAACTAGCTACGTATGAGAAACTACTTAAACACTTAAAATCAGAATTTGTTTTCTTTTGTAACTATTATGTTCAATGAAAATATGTGAATATAAAATCGCAAAAAGATAACAAAAGAAAAAGATATACCAATATTACTCTTTTAGGCAAAACAACTGCTTTATATAAACCAAACAATTGTGCAATTTTTAAGAAATAACATACAAAAGGAAGATTTTCACCGCCATGAACAACTCTGTACACTGACAATTTTTTATTTATAAAAATGCTTACTATAATTTCATCAACTACATATAAGTATCCATTATTATAACATCAACTAAACTATTCATTCTCATAAATGATTTAAAATAAAAACTAATTTAATTTTAAAAATATCTTTCAATAAAGTTATTACTCGTAGCAAATAAAACATAACAAATATTTAAATAAAAATTACAAATATAAACAAGTAAAAGATCCTAAAAAATTTATAATGCCTATATGTAATTGAGTGCATTGAAGGGGAAGTCACTAGTGATTAATGAAAAAAATAGTGGGATTAAATATATTTTACTCAAAGACCCAAAGAGCTGAATCTTCTATTGGTAACTTGTTGTTAATTTAACAGTGGAGATGAATTAAATCAACAAATTAAGTTAAAATGGTATTCCTCAAAATTATCACTCCTAAATATAAAGAAGTTTGATTGGAAACAACCCTTATATTAGTAGTAATTAGTGTCTTGTAAGAGTATCTTTAATGGAGACTCACTCTTACCTAAATTTGAGTAAATAAAAAGGTAAAAAACTTAATTTAGTATAGACTTATCAAATGGACAAACTCTTTTTAAAAGAAGAGAAACCTAATTTAAATGGGAACAAATCTAAATTTAAAAGAGAGTAATATGACAATTAAATTTTTAAAGAAAGTGTAATTTCACTATTAAAAATTTGAGTTTAAAAAACAAGGTCTCTCTTGATTTGGATTTAAAATATAATTTTTTATTTCATTTGGTATAGATATGAGTTTAGTATTGGAGAAGATTTTTAAAATTTTTTATTTTTTAAAAAGTTTTTAAAAAGATAAGGATTACTCTTTCTCTATGTGTAATTTAATTTTTTAATTAATAAAATTTCCTCGCATTGACAAAAAAAAAAAAAAATTAGATATGGTCCATCACTAATTTAATTAACGTTGTGCAACCATGTGAGGCAAAGATAACCAAAAATTAGGGCACAATTGCCGCGCGTTGATCGCAATTTGAATTCCCGCGACCTGTTTAAAGCCCCTCTCTCCCTCTTCAGTCGGCTCCAATTCTGAAATCGAATCCAATCGCTATTTGAATTGCCTACGCCGCCAATTCACTGATTCTCTCTCTCGTTTTGGTTTGATTTGGGGGAAATATATATATATATACAGATAAAAGAAGAACAGACCGATCTTTATCAATAGGTGGGTTGGAGAATGTCGTCGCTGGACCCTCGTGAATCTCAAACTCAAGACCGCTGTTTTTACAATCGCAAAGAAAAATCTCTCGGCCTCTTATGCTCCAAGTAATTTCTCTGTATTCTTATATAAATTTTGTGTGTACATACATGGGTTAGGCATTATCAACCTTTTTTCGGAAGGTAGTAATGGTTTGTTTTGATTGTTCAGTTTCTTAAAATTGTATAATCACGATGGCGTTGACTCGATCGGATTGGACAATGCGGCGATTAAATTAGGTCTTTATCTGATCTTTACATACATATTGCTGAGAGTAAATGTGTGAATATGTACAGCGATTATTTGTTTCTTATGTTATTGATGGATTTTTGAACTTGTGTTAGGTGTTGAGCGGCGGAGAATATATGACATTGTCAATATATTGGAGAGTGTTGGAGTAAAATTCATTATCCTTTTTTTTTTTGCTCTCTGGTAATTAGGGTTTTGATTTCGTAGAGCGGAGCTGTGTAACCACGCTAAGGATTGCTTACTTTTTCAGGTTTTAGTGAGAAAAGCCAAAAATCAGTATTCCTGGAAGGGTTTTGGTGCAATTCCCCGGGCTTTAGATGAGCTAAAAGTAGTCTTAAATTCTATTATTTAATGTAAAACAAGTCAATAAATCAGGGGAGTGAAATTTCTGAATCATTTTTTTTTCCTACTCTTCATCTGTTGGCAGGGAGAGATACAAAGAGAGAAGTTCTACACCTTCAGGTGCCGTAATTCTGTGAATGTATGTGAATATTTTGTTTTATGTTCTATTTTCTTGCCAAGTTCCTACTTCCGATTCATTTTGCAAGCAGCCTAAAATGTTAAATTCAGAACTATTTCTTCATTCTAATGGCAATAAAATTGGGTTTCAAGTGTAAATATGATCTTCATTTGTTAGGTTTCTGATGAAAATCAAAATGGAGGGCCTTCTAATTCAAAAACTGATAGGCAAGACAAACCACTTGCATTATGTAAAGTAGGTAAGTTCCTTCCATTTCTGTTCTGTCATTCATGATCATAGAGAAAGTCATTTTCAGCGTAGTGAACTGTTATTATCACGGGTCATGACTACTCTCGGTTATGCATATGACTAATTAGCAAATCTTTTTAATTGCTTCTGTCAACTTTGTTTCAACATTTGTTGTATAGACAACAGGAAGGAGAAATCTCTGGGGCTTCTTACAAAGAATTTTGTCAAGCTTTTCCTATGCTCTGATGTAAGCGAAACATAGAAATTTTTTCTGTTAAAAAATGCTGAATTCGTAAATTATTTTATTTAGACTCCTCATTTGTTTCCTTCAGGTGGATTTCATATCCCTTGATACCGCTGCAGCAGAATTGCTGGGTGATTTACATGATCCAACTGCTATGAGAAGTAATTGACCTTCACACCATTAATTTGCACAATGAAAATATAGGACAAAAAACCTCTTCTACTAATATTATCTAACTGAGATAATTCTGCAGCAAAAGTCAGGCGCTTGTATGATATTGCTAATGTATTCTCGTCCATGAATCTTATTGAGAAGGTTAGCTATGTTTCATAACTTGATTGACTTGTGGATAGATTGCTGCGTAAGCAAATTTTTTGGTATATATTTTGGAATTTATTATTGGTTCTCCTAATGGCATTGCAGATTCGCCACCCAGACAGTGGGAAACCAGCATTTAGGTGGATAGGACTGAAAGGAAGCCCCAAGAATGGACCTGCTACTGCTTTAAATTTGACTGATTCTAAGAGAAGATTTGGGACTGACGTTACCAATGCAGATTTAAAAAGATATAAGCTAGAATCGTCATCTGACTGGCAGTTATATGGGAAGGTAAATGAGCCACTGCCTATGAAACCTGAAAGTTTGAAAGATGAATATGACCAGAAGTCAATGGAGCATCATCTGAAACATGGCTCAATGGATTTTGTATATGGCCCTTTTACTCCTGCAAGTGTACCCAATGTAGGAGTATCTGACAATGAAAAGGTGAGGCAGATACAAGACTGGGAGAACTTCGCTTCCATTTATCGCCCTAGGTATCGCAACCAAGGTACCTTCTAGACCTCATCAAGAGAAATTTTGATGAGCTTACTTCCACATATGCCAATAGTAAGCTGATTTTTGTCAGCTTGGTGTGATTAATTTGTTGGCTCTCAAAGCATTTTATGATTTTTACTTGTGGATCACAATCTGGAAGGGTTTAGAGTTGATTGATTACCTTCAGCTTTGTGATGTTTCTCCAGAAATATTTTCACTGTTTCATTGTTTGTTTTGTTTCTTTCACATGTCTTTTCAAGCATACCTTCTCTCTGTTTTTGATACTACTTTCCAACCATCTTTTCTGGATTGCCATAGAATGGTGTTTTGCAATGCTTGTGTGGCCTTTGCCACTGTTGTTTCCCGTCCATTGCCTCTCAGATCCTAGTGTTGCAATTTTTTGAACTATTCTTATTTCAAGTTTTAGCAATGGATTCTGAATTATCAATTGATCATTCTGTATTCCTTGGCATATATTTTGTGTAAGGAGCTGTACTGATTGATGCCCATCTTGTTTATGGTACATACACTCATGTTGTATATTGCGTAAAACTGCTGCAGCAACTTAATTATAAGATGGGTTTTTGTTAATGGTGTGATAGCTCTAAGTGACCTATTTTCTCATTATGCGGAGGCGTGGAAGTCGTGGTATGTTGAAGCTGCTGACAAGAAGCAGATACACCCTGTATCTTGATGCTCCTCCATTTATTTCAAGGACCTGTCCAACAACAATTCACAGTGCTATAATGAAGATTTTTGGCTCCAGGTTGGATGTATTTCCTTGATACACCTCCTCAAACATCATATATAGCACCAATGTCTTAATTGTTCTTCGAAGTTGTGAAACTCCAATTCTTGCCTTGATTTATGAATGTGCAATTACTGCCTCAACGATCAATGTACACGTGATTCGTGTTTGACGAGAATTGGAATTATCCAGAATTTGATCTACTTTGCCACTTTTTTGTGAAATCCAATCCATGGATTGAAGCCCTGGTAAGTGTTGCAGCATCATAAAGCTTGTTTTATATGTTCTTTGTTTTTAGGAATGAGTAGGATTCCCAGATTGAGTTGGCATAGAATGTTTTGCTTTCTATATCTATAGATGCTGAAGTGTTGGACATGAACAAAAACATATGGGCAATTATTATGCTTTAAGATCCAAAACTACACACACAATCTTAATAAATGCTGATAGGAATGATGCCAATATGTAATACCTGCTAATTGCTTTGCTATTTAGGCTTGCAAACTTGTGTTTGGCTGACAAATATTGTTTCCAATATAATTGTTGTTTATACTCACAATGGGATGTCCATGGGGTTAATCCTCACAAAAAATAAGTATTGATCTTCCTTTGGGAAAAATATCCATTGCAACAGTTAAACTATGTCATCACAATAATACGGAGTAACCATCTAATAATAGGATAACAAGTGAACAAGTTGACAAGTGGATTTTACATGGATAGTTATTACATGACACATGAACGTGTAGTTATTTAATTATGTGAAATTTACTTGCTCACTTATTTATCTTATCATTGAATAGTTATATTATATCATCGTGATAACATGATGTAACTGTTGTAATGAATATTTTCTCTTCTTTGAGGCTACATTATGCTAGTTTTTTCCTCCTTTATTTGCGTTTGTAATATGCTTTTATTTTGAGTTTGGTTTATACTTCATTTTAATAGAAGTCCAGGATACCGTATCACAATTTTTTGAACTCAAACTTTTTGGGGATCGTTTTCCTAAAAAGTTTTAACTTGTCTCTCAGAAAAATGTAAATTAAAATCCAAAAGTTGTAACATAATTCTAAATGTTGAAATTTTTTTAGGATAAATTATATCCGTACCCCTAATATTTGATTTTATTGCACACACACTCTATTGCACAAAACTTCTTGCCATTTGAACACGTGAGATCGGCACACCGTTTAGAAGGAAGATGACATCATCAACAAAATATCCAAATTGCCCTTATGCCAAGCAAGAATATTAGAATTGCACTAATTATGATTTTGGAATTCTTAAAATTTAAGTATTTGATTTCTAATAATCTACAAATAACCAAATTCAATAAATTACTAATTAAAATTGAATTTTTATTTAATTCCAAATAATCTACAATTTACTAATGTTATTAACCACTCAAGTCATTAATTACTTAATCAACTAATTATTCAATTTCAATTAATTACTAATAGATTTACAAAAAAAAAATGGTCAAAATTAGTCAAACACCACCAAAGCTCTTTTTTTTGGAATATAACTTCCAACATCACCTGCCACTGCCACCTGTCCCCTCGTCATCCGTGTGTGTGTTCCTGCAGTTCTCCGCTGCCACCATTGAACTGCCATTGCAATCCTCCTCCGTCACCACCTCCAAAACCAACGACCTCTCCTTTGAACTACATATCGGCAACTCATCAAAATCCCCACACTGAAAGCCACCAAAAACCACCACCTCCACTCATTGCCGCATCAAATCACTTAGAGAGAGAGAGAGAGAGAAAGAGAAAGAAAGATAGTTTTGTCCAAAATGAACCTATACAAAACTACCGATCACAAAGAGAGAGGGAGCGAGGGGGAGAAAGATGAAGATCGTAATCCCTAGATGAAGATACCTTCATGTGCCAATCGGAGATCAAATCTTATGGGTGGTGATAGTGTTGATGGATCTGTCTTTGTCTCTAGTGGGATGTCGGCCGGTGGAAGTGTTGATTAAGTTCCCGATGGTGGTGGGTATTGGTGACAATACGCGGGAGAGTGGGGTAAGTGGGGGTGTTTGTGGTTGCATTATCGGGTGATGGGGTTCTGATACGTTGAGAGAGAGAGAGGGAGAGAGAGAGGATGGGTGTTCAGCTTTGAAGAAAGAGTCTTGGGTCTGGGCATGATCATGGTTCTGGGTGTGGATCATTAGTTAATTTGAGAGTAAAATGATCTTTTTGTTTATGGCATTAGCGGCATCCATATTAAATGGGGTTTCAATGTAATTTTTAAAATGTAAAGGAGTGTACATATAATAAAACCAAATATGGGAGTTTGAGTGTAATTTATCCAAATTTTTAAGATCAAACTTAACATTTTAGGATTTAATTCAATTTTTTTTTATTATAAACGAACTCCAAAAACTAGTACGGTACTCAAGTCGGATCCTAACAGTGATGTCTTGTACTTGTGATAGTCATCCCCTGCTGCACATTTAAAAATAGTATCATTGCTTGAATACGTACTATACCCCCGACTTACTTTTCGGCACTATACCGAAAAGTAAATTTGGCCAATTTATTTTACACGTGACTCATTAAAATCGGTTTCACAACTGGTACCAAAAAAATTGGAATTCAAATTAAAAAAGTTAGACAAAAAAGTTGAAATTTCTACTCAAAAAATTGGAATTTTTACTCAAAAAAATTGGAACCCCTACCCAAAAAAGTTAGAACTCATCCTCCAAAAAATTGGAACCTCTACTCAAAAAATTAGAATCCCTATCCAAAAAAGTTGGATCTCATCTCTTTAAGAGTTGAAACTTCTATTCAAAAAAGTTGAAACTCCTACTCAAAAAGTTAGAATCACTGCCTAAAAAAGTTGAAATCCTTACCCAAAAAAATTGTAATCCCTCCTCTAAAAAGTTGGAACCTCTATCCCAAAAATTTAGAACCACCTCAAAAAAATATAATAAAATCCTAAAAAATTAAACCTCATCCCCAAAACTTATAACACAATTTAAAATAGTTGAAATCTCACAAAAACAGTTGTAATCTAGCTAATTCAAGTCTCCCCAAAAATTGGAACCTAATTCCAAAAAATTATACCCCTACCCAAATAGTTGGAAGTATTATTTATAATTTTTTTAATTATTTGATTTTATTCATTATTTTATTTGTTGTTAATAAAAAATGGGATTATTTAAAAAATAATGAATATTTTGTGACTGCAGTAGGAATTTTTTGATTATTTAAAGGATAAAAGTGTAATATTAAGTCTTGATCGGTCGTCCAATTCTTCAACTGGTCTTAATTCTTCTAGTTGTAATTTTTTTATTTTTCAGTTTATATTGTGGTCCACAAATCACAAAAACCTTATTTTTTCTCTTCACCCACTTTCCCGCCCAAACCATTTTTCATTTCTCTTGCCTTTCCTCCATCTCTTTTCCCACCCAAACCATTTTTCACTTCTATTGCCTTTCCTCCATCTCTTTTACCATACATTTTTTTTCCGTTTCACCATATACAAGTATTTGTTTGATTTAGAATTTGATGTTAATATGATGAATTGAATATTAAATATTAATTTGTTTAATTGAATATTAATTTAGTATTAATTTGATGAATTAAATGTTTATTGAATAAAATTGTATGTTACTTTGATGTTGATTTGTTAAATTGAATATTTATTGGATGATTTTCGATGCTAATTTGATAAATTGAGTACTAATTTAATGAATTTGAATATAAATTAGATGATGATAAAAAAAATATAAATTAGACGAATTGAATGTTAATTTTGTGTTAATTTGATGAATTGAATATTAATTGGATGTGATTGAATGTTAAGTTGATGAATTAAATGTTTATTAGATAAAATTGAATGTTGATTTGAAGAATTGAATGTTAATTTGTTATTTATTTGAAAAATTAAATGTTTATTGAAAGAAATTACATGTTACTTTGGTGTTAATTTGTTAAATTGAATTTTTATTAGAGGATTTTTAATGTTAATTGAATGAATTGAATGAATTTGAATATAAATTGGATGAGATTGAATGTTACGTTGATGAATTAAATGTTTATTAGTTGAATTTTAATGTTAATTTAATGAATTAAATGTTGATTTGAAGAATTGAATATAAATTTGATGAATTGAGTATTAATTGGATGAAATTGCATGTTACTTTGATGTTGATTTAATAAATTGAATATTTATTAAATGATTTTTGATGTTAATTTGACCAATTTGCTCCAAAAATAATAACATACCCCAAAAAGTTGAAACTCAATTCATAAAAGTTGTAATCCAACTTAAAAAATATTGCAACACCAATGTTACTCATCTCTAACCATATAACCTACCAAATAATTTGATGAATTAAATATTAATATGGTGTTAATTTGATAAATGAATATTAGTTAGATTAATTGAGTGTTAATTGAATGAATTTGAATATAAATTAGATGAATTGAATAGTAATTTGTCGAATTTGAATATTAATTTGATAAATTAAATGTTTATTAGATGAAGTTGAATATTAATTGGATTATTTTATTAGATGATTTTGCATGTTAAATGTTTATCTGGGACTATTTGAATACAAAATTAAATATTTTAAGGGTTAAATTAAAAAATTAATATTTTAAGGACCAAATTAATAAATATGTATAATTTTAGGAATGAAAGTGTAAGTCTTCATTACTAAGCTACGGCCGGTCGCTTCCTATGACCGGTCTTAATATAAGAAAAAGTTAATTACACTTTTATCCTTAAATTTATATATATTTATGGTTCCTAAAATATTAATTTATCAATTTATTCCAAAAATATTCAATTTTATCCCTAAAATATACTCAATTCATCAAATTTACACCAAATTAACATTCAATTCTTCAGATCAACATTTAATTTTACCTAATAAATATTTAATTCATTAAATTAACATTAAAATTCAACTAATAAACATTTAATTTATCAATGTAACATTCAATCTCATTCAATTTATATTCAAATTCATTCAATTAACATTCAATTCATAAAATTAACATCGAAAATTCTTCCAAAAAAATTCAATTTAACAAATTAACACCAAAGTAACGTACAATTTCATCCAATAAATATTATATAAATAACAAATTAACATTCAATTCTTCAAATCAACATTCAATTTGATCTAATAAATATTTAATTCTTCAACTTAACATTCAATCACATCCAATTAATATTCAATTCACAAAATTAACATTCAATTCATTGAATTTATAT